AATTTATACCTATAGTCTTTTCTCAAATTTATACTTCATTTAACAGAAAATGTGTACACACACATCACAGATGTCCATTATTATTTCCTAGATATAACAAAGATATCTAGCATAAGATATATGAAATAAACAAAGGGCCAATTTGCTGTTTAGCCGTGAATTATTTCTTAACATTTAGCTAGGGATACGTAACACTCTTCTTTCACTCTTCTTTCAGTGATTACCCATGGATACACTGATATTGATGCTGATCTACTAGAAATAGGGTTAAATATTATTATTTTTTATTTAAACTAGTTACTAATGAGTCATTACCAAACTCAGTCTTATAGAAAAGCTTGGTATTCAATTACCTTCTCATAAGATCCCAACTTTCACATTAAACCTTATACATAGAACACTAACAATAAAAAAGGCTGTTCTTTAAAATCTATTTAGTATTTTCTCATCTTCTAACCCAAAAATAAAAAAATGGCTCAAGATTTTTCATAAGTTAAGAATTGTTTACTTTTTCTCTGTATTTGTTTTATTAAAAGGAAAATATTAGTTTTATATTTTTTGTTTTAATTTAAATATTTATTTTTAACTAAAAACTGCGTTATTGATTTTTTTCTAAAGTATGTTTACTTCCTTATTCTTTCACTCTTCTGAAAACCCGTTTTTTTTTGTGTGTGCAGTAGAAGAGGTCAGGGATATTGACTCCTAATTTTCATTAAAACATCTTTGAAGTTGTTTTTACCCTTATTCAGTGGGAGTGGCTATGGATCAGTATGCCCTGGAAATTCAAATAATTATAAGTCACAAAAAGTGTAGCATCTGCTCACCTAGCAAAACCAACCAAATTGCAAGTAAAATTTTTAGTGATTAGACTCTCTTACACTCAATATGTGCTATTAGAAATGAAGTCAAAAGTTAACCTCTCAGAAGGAGTAGCAGAGGGAGGAAGCTGGAGATGAAAGTTAAAATCTCTACTTTGTACATGGAATTGAGCATTCTGAGTCTTTGAATCCAGCAGTCAGATATTAACTATGAAATAAGTCATAAATCTGAGGGTATATGGATTTGATTTTGAAGTATTCTTCCCAACAGAACACCAAACTGGTCCACTGTGACCCCTCCCCGCAGCTCTCAGTAGGTGCTGACCCCGTCCTCATCCTTAGTGGAGGGCTTCATTGGTGACCAAGTTCTAGCCAGTTAACTGTCAGGAAAGATGCATTCTGTGCCTGGGAAAGATCTTCCTTCCTTTTTTGAAAATATAGAAAACTGAGAGCTGGACACAAATGAGGGAATATGTCACTTAAACTACCAGTGGCCACTATACTAAACTGGGAGAGAAGCAAGCCTCTGATTAAAGCTTACTTGGTGAATAGCAAAATGGAGAGACAGAAGTAGTCTAGGTATTTTATGAGAAGCCAGCTGACCTTTTGTATACACAAACGTTTGTTTGGAAGCCCACCCTATTCCTGAACTTCTTCTTACTTAAGCCATTAAATTATTTAGTGCTGAAGTTTTTTGAAATTGGGCTTTCTGGTTATTTGTACCCAAAGCATACAAACTCAGTCAGAGGTATAATTATGGCATGAAGGCATACAATTCAGGAAAAGGTTATTCTATTTGGAAAAATGAAACCTTAGAGGCAGAAACAATTTAATTCTGATAATGAAAAATATATGGAATTATTAATTTGCACTAGCCCAGTGATTTTCAACATTTTTCATCTCATGACATACATAAACTAATTACTAAAATTCTGCAGTATACCAAAAATATATTATTTTTTGCCAACCTGACAAAAAATTGTATAATTTTGAATCATTCACACCGAGTGGCAATTGTTGTATTGGCTGTTGTAATTTTTTTATTTGACAGACTAAGGGAAAAAAAGTCAGTGCCCCTAACTAGATAGTCGGGTATTGCGTGTTTTAAAAATTCTGCCGGCACACCAGTGTGCCAGGGCTCACCAGCTGAGAATCACTGCACCAGCCCATCTTTACTGGAAATAGTCTCTACACTTTTCTTCATTTCATTGTTCTTTTTAAGATTTTTTTAAGATTAGGTAAGGGAAGTGTAACATGGGATCTGTATCCATGCCCTTGAATAGGAAACACTATGAAGATGGCCTAATACTCTATACAAAATACTTCCTGATTTTTTAATCCAAACATAACAGAATACAATTTTCCAAATACATTTAAACAAAAGCAATTATACTTTTCATAACAGATAGTAAGTGGTTTATGTACTTATGAAAATCAGTCACTTGGAATAAAATAATGAGCCAAACATATATGGCTCTTGACCTCATGTAGTTGACCAATGAGTAAATGCATGGATTTTATTCAGAGTGCTGGTCACATGATGACAAAGCCACTTAATTTTTTAAATGTTTGTCCATAAAACTATATATCCTAAAATAATGTAATTAAACAAGTGTTTGATTTTGTTGTTGTTTATTGGGCAATATATTTCTTCTAAGACATTTAAAATATATAGTACTTTCTTTATTTCACCAGTGTTGGGTATGTTCATGTTGTAATACTAGTCTTTGTCAGAAAATATTTTCTGTTCTTTCACATTTTGAACTTGTAGGTAAAATGAATATTGCACTTCATTCCCAATTCACTCAGATGGCTAAAACCTTTTCAAGTTAGTTAATGTATAAAATTCTATTTACCCTGCCTTTAACATCATCACTAAAACTTTACCAGGAAGAGAATTATTTAAGGGTCAAAATGGAAGTGTTATCAGATTAACATCAAGCAAGAGACCCCCAAAATACCTCCCAACTTGAACATTCTTTCATGCTATGGTTTATTTTTGAAAAGTTACCAGAAAATGAGCTACTGCTGCAGAAAAACAGGTATGTAAATTCTAATGGCTCAGTGAGTAACTGGCTCTGATTTCTAATTAAAGTCTCTTTAATAAAAGCTGTTGAGTTGCTTTAGAAACGAGACTTTACAATGAAGAAATATCTGTCTCTATCACAAATATAACAACTAAAACAATTAGAATGTCAAAATTGAAAGAACATTGTTAATACTTTCAATTTTGGGGCCACTTCTAATTATGTATTGGTAAAAAAAAAATACATATGCTTTTGATTTGTCTACAAAGCACAAATGTTTTCTGGCAGTATTTTGAGCCTTTTTTATTTCTGGTTAAAAGGAAAAATTTCTTTGAGGTTTGGCTGATTATTTTCTTAGTTGTTTTTAACAAGTTTAAAAATTTAGCACAATGAGTACCATATTTTGTTTTGTATAATGTCACTTTTTGCCCAAAGTGTTGAGGGAAAAATAAGGATGCACATTATACAGGGGTATAATGATTATACACCATGGGTCTAATAATCCCATGTATAATTCACACAAAAATGTAGGTGCGCATTAAACATGGCAAAATATGGTATTTTAAAGCTTTACTAAAAATTTAAAATAACAAAGATGCTTCATATAGAATATAAAATGTATAGAAGTTTCAAAGTAAAGATTTTTGAAAGATCTAACCTTGATGGACAGCAAACTAAAACTCACAGTTTCATGAATAATCTCTTCTATTAATTATAAAAGAATTAGCAATTTGAAAGTTTTGAAGGAGAGAGAGTATCAGTTTGCATGTGTGTATGTCACAGAAGGAGGAGAAGGAAGGAGAAAGTAAAAGAAAGGAGATACTCAAATCCATTACTACAGGAATATCAACCAACAGTGATCAATTACATATTTACCAAACAAAACTTTTAATAATATAAATTTATTGGCACCTTATTCAGAGAAATAAGCTAACTAGGTTTCATTAAGTCAAAAAACTAAGGTACATTTACTCAATGAAATATTATGCAGCAGAAAGAAAGAAAGAGCTCCTACCCTTCGCCACAGCATGGATGCAACTGGAGAGCATTATGCTAAGTGAAATAAGCCAGGCAGTGAAAGACAAATGCCATATAATCTCACCTATAAGTAGAACCTAATCAGCAAAACATACAAGCAAGCAAAATAGAACCAGAGACATGGAAATAAAGAACTGACAGTAACCAGAGGGGCAGGGGGAGGGGGATGACAGGGGAAAGAATGGGAAGGGCCAAGTCAAGGAACATGTGTAAGGACCCATGGGCAAGGACAAGGGTAAGGAAGATTGAATGTGGGAAGCAGGGGATGGGTAGGGCAGGAGAGAGTAGTGGGAGGAAAATGGGAACAACTGTAATTGAACAATGAACTTTTTTAAAAAAATGGAAAAAGAATAAAAGGCTAAAATATTTTAAAAATCATATTTATTTTTTTAAAAATGTAAATGTAATGAAACAATAAATACCAAACAAGAAAAAAGGTAGGTGATTATTCTTGGCTAAAAGAGACTAAAGAGATACAACAGCCAAATATAATGTGTGAATCCTGACTGGAAAAATAAATAAGTCAGTCACTAAGTAAGTAAATAAATAAATTTAAGAAATTGTCAAAGTACTTTGCTCCAAATATCTCCATATTTTACTTGAAAGATTAAGGATAATTAAAATATAATCATTTAGAAGGTAAAAAAGGAAAATGAGAGATTTTCTAAAGCTCAGATACTATAGAGTTATTAATGAAAGGATGACAATTCCTTTAATCCCAATTATCTCTAACAGTGCTCATAGCAATCCAAATTAATAATAATGACATAAATCATAACTTTGTATTAACATCTTATATATGCAGTGAGCAACATTTTTTGAAAATGTTCCTATTTTTGTTGGCCCGTAACATAAAATCTAAAAGCCCTGTTGAAGATTACTCATTAGACATCTGTGCCTTTCAATGAAATTTAATCATGAAGCCCTCAATACATAGAAATTATGACAAACCACTGTGACTGTGGCAAAGGAAATAGGTACCCAGGCTTGTAACAGGCAGGAGAGGGTCAAGCATGGGCCATTTCAGAGTACTATAATGCTAATGGTAATAATGTGACACCCAACTCTTGAACATTCTATTCCAAACTAAATTGCATTTTTTTTTCTGATTCCACAGATTTCAGTTGTGTTTGTTATTATGGAAATTCCTATCTAGAATTTCAGAATATATTTTTAAGTTCACAAAATAACATCTCCCTAGAATTTCAGACCTTCAACTCCTATGGACTCCTGCTCTATATCAAGCAAGACTCAAATTTAGTAGATGGATTTTTTATCCAATTATTTATTGAAAATGGTACTTTACAAGTAAGCCATTAAATTTATGTAATTTAAAGTAAATTTTAGAAATGTATTGTTTTCTTTAATATAACTCATATACCTAATTTAATATAACTTGTGATTTAGTATAATGTCTGATATCATAAATAAATATCAAACAGATGTTAAAAATTAATAGTAGGAGCAGCATTTTTACTCATTTGTTTATTTGTTTACTCATTCATTGAATATTTATCTGTTACCATTCACTTTGTTAGGTTCTAAAGATTCTATGGTAAATAAAACATACTTTGTTCTCCTTATATTGCTTCCAATTTATTACAAATAATAATAACACATAAAATCAGAGCAATAATAGGATGTTAGAATAAATTATCAAACATCAGCCTGACCTGAGATAAAGTTTGCTGACCTCTGCTGTACAGAATTTTTCTTAACTTAGACCACAAATTTCTATTAGTCTTAAAAAGAGCAGAAAAGAATATATAGAGACCATATGTAAGAAATTACAAAGGAAACATAATATTGAGCATTGGTCATATTCAGAATGTTTTCTCTCAGCCCATTTTTTTGCTGCTAACTCGACTGCCATAACTAATCATCTATCTCAGCTAGTTCCTCAAACCACTGTGGACATATCCAATCAGAGACATTTTGAGGAATGTCCAGAGACTTGTCAAGATTTTGAGAAAATATAATGGATTAAGATACTTCTTTTACTTTCAAATAAATAAAAATAAATTTATGATAGGTTGAGCCAAGACATTTAGGAACTGTAAAATGTAATGGGTGAAGAGAGGAATAGAATTTCTTTCAAGTTTTATGACAAAGAAAGGCTATATATTGACACATATGTAATAATAATTACTACTGTGTACTGAATTGCAATTTATGTCAGGCTCCATCTTAAGAAAATTTATTAAGACCGTGGACTCTAGAGCTAGACTGTCAGATTTTGAATCCTAGCTCTGCTCCTTAAAGAGCTTTGAGAACTTGTGAGAAACTTAAGGGTTTTGTGCTTAAGTTTACTTGTAAAATTGGGGTAATACAAGTTGTTGTGAGGTTTAAATTAGTAAATTAGCAAGTATTTGAAGTAAGTGCAAGCAATGAGTAAGTAAGTAAGGCATATGAACTATTGAAGAATACCTGTGATTATGAATCAAATATGAGGGTTAGGTATTCTCTCTTTGGATCTTACAAGGATTCTGTGGACAAAATAAAGCTCTCAGAGAGTCTGGTTTTATTATACATGCTCTTCAATCTCTTTTAAGGGTGGTAGATCAAGAATTTTTTATTCTGTTGTATCAATACAAAAATCTACATTCTTTGTACTCACATCACTGCTTCCTTGTAATGATTTAAAGAAAATTTCAGCATTATGCTATATTGACGATTTGAAGATTTTTCTTCTTCCTCTATGATTTACAAGACTATAATTTCATCTATTTCAAAAGTATAATCATATGGGGAATATATTTACATTACAATTTCAACAAAAAGACATATTTGTGGTTAAACATTTACAATGATTATAATTTAAGACATTCAAATTCTAGTAAGGTAGAATGTTAGTAAATTTTCTTTTAAAATTTAAACTTTAAAGTTTTATTTATCAAACTTGATTTTTAAAAATATTTTATGGGCTTTTTTCTAATAACAAGGGATAAATAGATTCTTCTATTTGGGGCTCAAATATCAGTACCCTTCCCCCTCAACTTATTAACTGTGTCACAAATCACTGCGTCTCCCTGTCTGGGGACAAATCACTTCACCTCAGTTTCCACCTCTGTTTAGTGAAGGTAATAAAAGGATAATCCCTTTTTCATATATCTTTGTTTGCTTTTGCTTTTGTTTTGTAAGGAAACAATCAGTTAACACTTGTAAAGTGCTTTAAAAATCCATGATACATAGTAATAAATCAATAGCAGCAAATCCTGTTTTTTATACAATCACAAAAGAGCTGTTTATAATAAAAGAAAAATTTAAGTAAAATTAATAGAATTGTCCATTAAAGATTTTATATATGTTTAATTTTTATATCCCTGAAGATAATAGAAATTAATAACAGTAGTACCTGAAAAAGAATTTTCTTAAATATTTTAACAAACTGAGAGACTACTCTGCCTACTATATACACATTGTTAGTGAGTACCTTATCAGTGAAGCTTAAATAACTATCTTAATTAACAACACAGATTTCTAAGTGTTATACATAATAAACAAATTATTATCTATTCTGTCAAAAATATTAAATGTATTCTTCAGTAACTTTGGTTGTATAGTGGACACATTAAAAATTCAGTAAAGGAACAGTGAATTTAACTTAGTTTCACATGGTTTGAAAAGAATGTATAACCAAATGTTATGCATCTTGCACGTAGGTGTATTTGTTTTTTAAAATCTCAGTATTTGAAGTATTTTTTACTTCAAATACTGAGCCTGGAGCAGATAATTTTACAAAGAAAAGGAACCTTTTGCAATGCACAAATATCATTAAAAATTAAAATACATAGCCTTATATTTCCTTTGGACTATATTTGGGAAGATTTAGATATATCATTATAATATAGCTGGATGATAGGAGTTATGAAACACTATGCAACTATTTTTCTTTAACTTACATGTGAGTTACTGATATCCTATAGATATGATGAAGGGTAGAAAACCTTTTTTCTAGAAAAGACTAGCCACAATATAACTAATATATATTCAGGCACATGCTGTTAGAAAATGAATAGGCTATGGAGCCCACTCATGAAATTCTCAAAGGTGTCTGGTCAAAGATACCAGTTAGAGACATGATTTGCTTTTTTCAAACCATAACTCAATTGGCCCCGTCAGCAATCATCCTTCAAATGGCCATAGGCCTCCTCTAGACTTAGAAAGCTTAGAATGTATGGTTAACTCTCATAATCTTTACATTTCTTTTCCTGTGACATTAACTTCACCATCGAGATTGTATGCCCTGATCTTTATATTGCCCAGTTGCTAACACCTAAGGAAAATTGCCAGTAATACTTATTCCTGCCAGCAGAAGAAGCTGCCGTTCTCAACCAGGTTCCCCAGAACACTGAAAAAGAAACCAAAAGTGTGTGAAGGTGTGTGTACACATGTATGGTATATATGAGTATATGTATGTAATATTTATACATTTATATTTTAATTCTAGCACTTGTTGGTTGGATACCTTGAGCAGTCACTCCTCTTTAAGTTTCAGAGTTCTTGTCTCACTAGCACAATAAAATATTGGTGAATTGTAAAGTCCAAAGTATGCACAATGTGTTAATTTCACACTGAGAAATTGAGGAAAAACTTTTTTCTCATAGTACCACTTTTCCTGTACGGGTGAAGCAGCATTGAAAATTATTAACACTACTCTTAAAGTGGATCATGGACAAAAGTATTCACTGCTTATCAGGTAAGATATACTTATTTTCTTTTCCACTTAATCTTATAAGTAGCAAAGGCTTCCTCTGGGTGTTGTTCTTGCCATTTTAAAGTGAAGGTTATCCTGATTAGTATTCACATGTACTGTTATGTGAATTAATGCTTTTTAAACCATCTTGCCTTTTGTATATGTCCTTAAATTGGTACTGGAGAAAGAACTGTATAAGGACCATATGATCAACAAACTTAAGCTGATTTACAAAAAAGACATGAAAGCCTTGTATTATTTTCCACTTATAGAAATCATAAAAACAAACTGTTATTTCTTTTGATATCAAAATAAAATAAATTTACTGTAGGAAATTTGGAACATCCAGAAATACCATGGATAAGGCAATTAAAATTACCCATTATGCCACAATCAAGATAGAATAGTTATTGATAGCATATTATTATATTTTCAAAGGCTATGTTTCATGGTGACTATATCCCAGGACCCTCACAAGCATCAGATTTTGCCAGTCTGATAAGTGAAAATGACATTTGCCCTTAATTGGCCTTCGTTGGTTTTTAGTAAGGTTTAATTTTAATATAGATTTAGTGCCTTTTTGTTACGTGTTTTGCCTCTTCCACATTTAAGTGACGCTTTAAAACACATACCACAATCCTCATCCAGTACATAGACTGAAGTAAATTATTTTGTTATGAAAATAGATTATTATTTAATAAAAATAATTCCTTAAAGCCAATAAAGAAGAAAGTAAAGAGGCCATAACGGAGATGGGGAGAGAAGTTAAAGAAGAGGTTTTAAGGAAGCTCTACCTTCCTTAGACCAGACTATCCAAATCTTGTTTGGAATATAGATCCTTAAGAATATTAACCAAAAAACAGTCTATTATCAAGAAAATTAAGGAGAGGCTACATCACATATACCTCTCCTAACTACTCAAAATGCACATGAGCATTTTTAAGACCTCTGAGATCCTTTTAATAGAGTCTCACATTTTTTGCTTAACTCAAGACATGAGCACAGAACCCTTAACATTTTTTGGGCACAGAACCCTTAACATTTTTTTAGCATTTTAACCTATCTAGTAACTATGGGGGCAATGCACTATGGGAAATGCTATGTGAGCCAAGGTAATCAGTTTTCTCTGGACACAGAGTGTCATCATCCTGAGGAAAAGCAGGTATATGAGCATTGGGGCAACAGTAGGAACCATATCACCGAAGACATATTTTTACTCCTAAGGAAACAAAAAGACACATGAGAGGTGATGGAGAGGCAGAGGGGTGCACCAGAAAAAAAGTTGCTCTGGCCTGGGGTATGTTGGAAAAGGTTTAAAAAATGAATGAGAACACAGCATTTATAGGTACAGTTTATTAAACACTCATTTTTTTTGTCCAGTAGTAAGTCTATTACATATATGAATTTTCGTTTAAAAAAACAAATGTAATTATCCACATTCCCAGATGGAAAACTGAAAGATAAAGAAATTAAATACAGAAAATAACATAGTTAGAAACAGTACAGTTCCAAGGCTACTCTTACTCCAAAATCTATGAATAACTTTTAAGCCATGGACCCTATGACCCATGCTGTAGAAAATACAATTTGATCTCTTATTCTCCCCTACCCTGAAAGAACTGCTGTATGTTTGCGGTAAGAGAAAGATAAGAATTATAAATTACCTTCCCAGTAAACAAAACAAACAGCAAGAACAATATTAATTAGTGCACATTAAATAACTACCATGTGCCACATGCTTTACACACACGTAACTGTATCCAGTCATTGGAAAACTCATTCTGCCCATTTTATTGGTTAGGTCAGGCTGCTGGCACAACCTACCACAGACAACATGGCCTCCCCAACAGAAATTTAGTCTAAGATGAAGAAGGTATTGGCAGGAATTTTTTCCCCAAGGCCTCTCTCCTTGGCTTGTAGATGCTATCTTCTCCTCTGTCTTCACATCATATTCCTCAATGTGTATCTTTGTCCGGATTTCCTCTTCTTAGAAGGACATCTGTCATGCCAGATTAGTGCTCACCTAATGATCTCATTTTAACTTATTTCTTTGAAGGTCCTGTTTTCAGACACAGTCACTTTCTGAAGTACTGTGGGTTTGGATGGACCTCAGCATATGAATTTTAGGGAGACATAATTCAGTCCATAACATTCCTTTTGCACATTTGAAAGCTGGGACTCAGCAAAGGCAGACATCTTTCTTAAACTCACATTGTTATCCTGTGGGAGGGCAAGACGGGAACACAGACCTGCTGCCTCCTGACCTAATAATTTTTTCTATCATAACATGTGCAGTCTGCGTTTTAAAAGTGACAACATATTATGTAAAGTGTTCTTAAAAGAAACAGTAAATGTGAAACATGTTTTAAAAGTTTCAAGAATACCTGCTTTATGCTATCTTCATCCCATGTCACTTTTAAGGATATTTAATAACAAAAATATCACTTTCCTTTATGTTATATGACTTTCTTTTGCAATTTACATCCATTGTTGCTTTGTATTTTTAACACAAAGTAGCTGATAACCTGTCTATATCTCGTCCAAATTATCTCTATTCAGAAATATTTCTTCACAAGTCCTTGGTTTATTTTGAAGTAATGGGAAATTTCTAGAAATCTTCTTCTTTTCTAAATTATCATATATAAAGAACAAAAATGAGAGTGGGAATCCATTAACTTCAGTTTTCTATACTGTATAGGGTGCACAAATGGTAATAGAAAAAATACCATAAAAATAATAAATAAATAAATAAAAATAAATAAATAACATAAACTTGTAGAGGTAAAAAGAAAAAAGCTTAAATTTTAAGTTTAATTCAATTAAAGTATGCTGTGGTCACAATTTTTTTGACCATTAACATACTCTTTAAAATAAAGGTAAATCGTATGCACACATTTCACTCCCAACTCTACACTCTTTCATCTTGTTTCTGTTGAGAGATGACATTCTTTTTGAATATGAATATAGGAGAAACGCCCTTCCTCACATCCTTTTGTGAAATTCTGAGGAAAAGAACAACAAGGTTGTGCTAGACCCATGATGAAGGGCTTTCTCAAAAAAGAGTGAAACTAATATACTCTGTGAAAAATAACTGAGTTCATTATTTTTTAGAACAGGGAAAGACAATGTGTTCTGTGGAGTAACTTGGCCCTGTTGAAAAAGAAATGTTTGATTGCTTAACCTAACAAAAAGCAGGAAGGAAAATAGGAGCTTAAACAAGTGAAATATACAGAGGCATAATAAGGATACTAAAAATACACATGTTAAAAACTATTCAGTGAGAAATTAGCTATAGCTGTTGCTTGTCTTTTAACGAAAGTGAAAATGGGACAAGCAATGAGGTCAGGCTGCTGAACAACAGCATTTAGTATATCAAGAAGGGAAACAAACACAAATAGGTTTGCAATTGTCACCCACTCTTGAAAACCATGGGTGTATGTAAGCACAAGAAGTCAAGAGAGATTAAGATAGGAATGTATTCTATGGCAAACACAAGTATGACAGTGTGATATTGCACTTTATCTATGTCTGTTGTTATATTTATAATACTTATGCATAAGTCATATTGATTATGTTATTAATATACCATACCATTTGTTACTTTTATTATAAACATCATTATTTAATTATATCACATATATTATAATTATACATAACATTATATAATTATGAGTGTGTGTGTGTGTGTGTGTGTGTGTGTGTATACATGCCCCCGCCTCAATTTAAAGTCCTAATTAACACCTATCCACCTTAGTTATTTAATGAGGTAAGTTCTGGAATTCAAAGACAGAAAGAGATTGTACTCTTCTGACCTCATCAGTTATGGGACTTTAAAGTGTTTTTTTAAGTGCATGCTATTAAAAATGCATCTATGTATTTTTTTTTTAAATCCCTTCATTTGCAGTCTTAATCTTGAATTTATAGTCTACATCCTGATTTGTAAATACTTGCAGAAACTCTGTCAGTTCTCTTAGGTCTTTTTCATGGAGATTTTGTTCATTCGCCCCTTTGTTTGGGGAAGGCTGCTCCTGTACTAATGCTGTACAGATCCAAAAAAATTAGAACAAGTGAGAAATATCTTTAGTTACTCTTGAGAGAATCATTTATCAGTTACTGTTTATGTATAGTCACGTGGATGTCCAATAAACTATGTTGACTTTTTAAAAAAGAGCATAGTGTTTATGCGAACAGTGAATGAGACCTAAGGAGACTGACCTATACCAATGAAACCCACACATGAACAAATATTTTCTCAAGTGATAGAGAAGTGCATACAAAGCCTGCACCACACTACATTATTTCTCTTAAATGATGATAAGAGGATTTTCTTAAGTCAGTAATAGTATCAAAAGAAGAGAAAAGGGAAATAATGTATATTTGAGACTATTAGGTAGGATAGAGTGAGGATAAGCTCTGCAGATACCATGGTTGTCAGGTTGTTTAGGTCATCGAATGCCACAGTAAGAACCGTGAACTATATTATATGCAATACTGACCTATTGGACAGTTTTTAAGAAAGGGGGCAGATAACATCAATTAAGTATTCACTTTCCTGTAGCTAAGCTACAGTATACAGTAGACTACATTTCTGTACCTCTCAAGATTCACTCTACAGTGAACACATTTCCTTGTGTCTTCCTCTTTTCTCTGGTCCTTTGACATTGATCTGTGTAGAATACATTAATAGGTTCTGGTACAGGTTGAATTGTGTCCCCACCTGTACCAGAAATTCATGTTTTGAAGTCTTAACCTTCAATATCAAAGAATGTAACCTTATTTTGAGATTGTCTTTAAAGGAGTAATTAAGCTAAACTGAGGTCATTAGTGTGGGTACCAATCCCATATGACCAGTATCCTTATAAAAAGGGGAATTAGGACACAGAGAGGGAAGAAAATGCTATCAGGATAATATTTGTTTGGTCTTGTGTGGTGTCTCCAAGGCTGGCTTACTCCCTCCAGTGAAGGTCTAGGCTCTTGGCAGATGGCCTTCTCCCTCAAGGTCT